AAGAAAACTTCAAGAAGTAGCTTTACCTGGTGGCTCCCAAGGAAGCTTCTTTCTACTAGGACTTCTTGAGGCTCTTTCAGGTAGATTGTCCCTGTCATTTATGAGTGAGTGTATTTAAAGATACTGAACCTAGAGTGTTTGGAATCACAGATATGTTAATCGTTCATTTCCAAAAAGATTTGCTATGTAACTTTGTTTCACCATTTCCACTCAGGACCAAATATTAGACAGCTAAATTGAATTATTACAAATATGCAAGACATTTACTTATTTTCACACGTGACATATCAGGGAAAAGGAAGCCAATAAACAGACATTTCTGATGTAGACTATCCATTCTTGATATATTCTGGACACTTTTTTTTTATTTTAGTGACACATGGTAAGTCATAGTCCGAAAGTATTAAGTTGGAAATTGTAGAAATAAAAATTTGTAAGTTTTAAATAATTTCTACTGCTATAATTTTTCTATTTTATTTTCAATCTTTTAGCATGACTAATTTATCAACTATACTGTATTATTGACATGCATGTAAAGGTAAAACATATATAGGTTTCAGTGTTATCCTTATTTACAGGCATCTGCTGGGTGTCTTGGAATGTATGCCTTGAAAGTAAAGGGGGTATTATACTTGAAAAACTTGGAAAAGCATTTCACAGTATTTGTTGTAGCACACAGTGTTGTCTTTCAATCAGTTATTCATATTACCAGATATATGCATGTAAAATTGAAGAAACAAAAAAAGGAAGAAACGTATAAGAAATTAAGAAGAGAAATAGTACAAACAATTGAAAAAGGGAGATGATACAAATTAAAGCATTAACTGTTCCTTTACATAGACCAGCAGAAATGCACAACACAGTTGTCCAAACCATCCTGCTTACAAACATAGATAAATCTCTTTCCCCTACTCCCTCTCCTGTCCTTCTCCTTAACTCAGTAGCTCTTTACTTTTGAATAAGTTCATTCTCTTTTCTATAAAAAAACCCATCAACATAGGTTTCATTTTAAAAAAGAAAAATTAGTAAAGCATTCCATGAGATTCTACTTTTTAAAATAAACGTGCATTCAAATATATTCCCAATCTTAAATATAGCAATAAAACAGGAGAAACAGCCAAGAATCTTTTGAATATATTTTTTATGACATACAAATGTCCTTGTAGGATCACTTCTCCAGACTACCACGATTAGCCAATTCCACGAAAAAAATGAATGCATAGTTGTTTGTATATAAAGATAAAAGTAGTAACTTTGAAGTTGCTTTTCAGTAAAAGGCACATTAACTAGCAAGAGGCTAAGTGTTATCAAGGGTCAATGGACAGAGACAGAAAGTATGTAACTGGCCCCCTGAGGAATCGAATCCTTGCCATTGATACCATGTTTATAACACTCCTACAAACTTAGATAACTGACCGTAAAGATGCCATTTAGTATCTGAGCTCTGCTATGCATGGTCTCTTGCAAACACGGCCGACTTCAAGTCCTCACTGAGTTAGGTATTTACCAGCCAATAAATTTCTCTGGAAGAAATAGGAATTGATTGTAATTTTTTTAAAACATTGAAAAGTGTCATTTTTTTCTGGATGTTTCCTAAGCTTGAAAGTCATGATTTTTCCCTAGTAGGTGATCTACTTGATGATTTTGGCTTAGGCAGTGCTGGCTACTATCGGGCAATGACTGGGTCTCATTTCTTTTTATAAAGCCCATGTTATTTCTGTTAGGAGGGCTTGAGGGCTGAGAGGGGGAAAAGGGAACTGGATAGCTCAGGGGCCTAATGTCATCTGATCTCTCTTACTCTAAGACTTTTTTGAATTTGGCATCTCTTCACAGAGTCTCAAAATACACACCAGCCCTTCAACAGTCATTGACAAGTAGGCTTGGGAGTCAGACTGCCTGAGTTGGAAGCCTGGATCCTCCAATCACTATCTTTCAGACTTTCAGCAAGTTACTACCCTTCACTCTACCTGTATTTCCTTACCTAGGCAATGTCGATAATAATTAATAACCTGGAAATAATTTGGACAAAATTTAATGGAACACTCTATGCAAACACTTAGTCTAGGACATACAGTGAGCATTTATAATGTTTTGCTGTTAAAAAAGTACCAACAATCAAATACTATGAAGGGCTCAGAACCTTCAGATAACAGAACAGACTCGAGGAGAAAGAGATGCAGTAAATCTGGAACATTAAATGTTGGCAGAGATATTATTTCCGGGTTAAAAAGAATGTTACAAATTCCTTGACCCTGGGAAGAGTAGGGTGATGTTTATGGGGTTTGAGGTCAGGAAAGAAAGAAAAGGAACATGTCAGAAAGGGAAAGGGAGGTGCTGTTTTTGGGATGAGGGAAAAAGTTCTGAAGACGGAAAACAAAAGTTTTATTTCAAGCTTGTGCTCATGTTGAGCCTCATGTTTGGGAGCTATTTGCCTTCTAGTTGGGTAGCTCTGCTCAACAGTCTCCAGAATTCCAGTTTGAAACAAAGTTTCCACAGCCGTCCATGCTTCCTTTTTCCTTGAAAACAATAACTTAAAAATACTTCATCGGTTCTCTGTCAATTACTGGTCAAACACTTAACATCCTCCTTGCCCCACCCTGGGCTGGGGAGGGGGTCCCACCTGGCAATGTGATTAATCCCTGTGGAGTCAGGAAGCTGCTAGCCTCCCACCAAGCCTTGCAACTAACTAGAAGCCCAAAGATCAACCTTGGATTCTTTTGCCTGGCCTGGACGTGCTCCTGGAGGCAGACGAAAACAATCTGCATGGGGGCCACTTGGCCTTTCCCCACACTCTACATTAAAAAAAAACCACACACACACACACATTGTTTTTTTTTAAAGTAATTTATGAACATGGTTTTCTTTTAGCAAAGATTATCTTCGGAGTTCCCTTAACTGTTGCATTTCTGGACTTTGTGATTTGATTTCTAAAAGTGTTTGTGTGAAATTGTAGCTTTTTACTAATGAGCTCACTTGTTGCCCTTTTATAATTAAGCAATGGTAAGTTTCAAACTCATATTTAAGGAGACTCACAAGAGTTTACTGATCACTCGTAAATTCTTAAAATATTAAATAGGGACAAGATTTTGTTTGTTGGAGTTACCAAGTTTTGAATTCTTGAACAATGTAATTTCGATAATGGGATGCATCATATTGAATTAAAGATCACCCAGGTTTGTTTTGGAAGGGAGGTGGTGGTTAGTTTGTTCCTTAGCCTATGCTTTTAGTTAGGGTTAACTATGTTTCTTCTGACACCCTGTGGCTGTTATAAAGTTCACCAGAGTCTAAGAGGTTAAAGAACGTAAACAGGTCACTTAGCCTTTGAAACTAACACAAGATTAATAAAATCCATAAATATCTAAACACAATAATTACAAAATTGCAAGAGTGGCTCAGAAAGGGTGAGCTCCAGGACAGTGCAAAGAATTGTTTTTGTTCACATACATTTTCTTAGAGGACATAAAACATTTCTTCATTGCAAGGAAAAAGGAAGAAAATCCCTCACATCGCACTCCCCACACTGGCCATTAGAGACACGAAACCCTGGCTATGACCTCAGAAAAGTAAGCAGCTTCGGGGACATTTTCTAAAGTGTTATTGTACAAGAATTTAGAATGCAGTGAAGATTTGCACGCTGACACCCTTCTCAGAAATGCTTCAAGGGGCTCCTTACTTAATATTGAATCGCGTTTGCCCCCATCTTTTAAATTGTGTTGTCAGTTCCTCTTCCCTTTGAGGAGAAACGGAGGTAACTAGCTTGGGGCACTAGGAAAGGTTTTTCAATGAATGAGCGAATGAATGAAATCCAGTCTCAATGCTGCACAGTGAGGAGCATGGAGGAACTTTCCCTCCCTTAGCGAGCCTCTGCAAATTTACAAACTGGGCACCGGGACTGCGAAAATTCACTCAATGTCTCTTAGATTCAACCACTTGTTCGCAGGCGCGGTTTCAGTGAGCAGCCTCTGACTAGTACCAACTACTAACCCTGGGGCAAGGAGATGCCACCTGCCTCCAGGGGAGTTCAAAAGGGTTCTGTCCTGTTCTGTTCTGCTCAGGGCTAGGGACTTCAAAGGCTGAGCTGTGGCAGCCCTAGGGCTCCACTCCTCCTTTCGCACCAGGGCTTGCCTAGGTCTGATCCCTAATCCGGTGGGAAGTCATTTCCTTTTCCATGTCGATGGGGTTTTGCAATAAATTGAGCAATAAAATCAAAGGACCAGAAAGAGAAAATGGATAACTAGAAAAGTTTCTTGGGGGCAGTGAGGGCGAGCGGGTTGAGCTGTTCGGACTGCAGCAGAACTGTGGGTCCCATAGTGGTGGTGGTGCAGAACGAGACCGGTTTCTGCGGCTAGCTACTGCCTAGAAAAAGTTTCCTGTGGAAGACTGGCCGGCGGGGGCAGGGGCGAGGGCGGGGCCGAGGGCGGGTGCGGCAGGAGCAGCAGTGGACCTGGAAGGGGGCGGAGGAAGGGAGCGAGTGGGCGGGGGCGGGGTGAAGGCTCTGAAAAGCCAGCGCCAGCCCGCATACCGTTATAGTCCTTCAGCACCTTCGGACTCCTAGGCTCCCTCCCTGCTTCGCGGCTGCCCACCTGGCCAAGTGACTCTGCACCATTCCGGTTCCAGTCGTTCGTAGGACCCTGCTCCTTGCACTGCCCCACTCCTCGCCCTGAAAGAGGTGCATCCAGGCAACACAGACGCTGCGCTCGCTCCTTGGAGCAATCTTTTAGCTTCTTCGTCTACGGGTCTGACACTCAAACTCCTCTCTCGTCCCAGGCAAACTCGCTTTCCGCTTTCCCGCCTCTCAAACTCAGGCTTCCCTCCAATCCTAGCTCTTTCCTCCACTTTCTCCTCCTCTATCTTCCAAGTCATAAAACCGATCCCCACTTCTTTCTCCTGCCCTCCCACTTTCTCTCTCCAGACTTCAACTCCTTGTTTGATTCCACCTTAGGCTCCCGGAGAGCGTGCCCGGCTCAAGTAGCCTGCGCTCAGCTCCCTTTCCTGAAGCCATGGCGGGACCTGGGGGCTGGAGAGACAAGGAAGTCACAGATCTGGGCCACTTGCCGGTAAGTACAGGAGTGTGTCAGCCTCCTAAGTGCTTTCTTTCCCTGGGTTCTTAGCACCAAGGGAGGGAGCTGACTCAAGCCACGCTAAGAAGTGACTTCCAAAAAATAGCTGGTACCAGAGAGGATTCAACAAACAGGGTGGGACATCGATGCGCGCTGGGACTGAGACTTCCCCCAACTCCACCGCAAGGCAAAGGGAAGAGGCAGAGGCAATGTGGGGGAGGATTGGTGGCAGTGGTCCCTAAACAGTGGGACATTTGCTAAGTGTAGCAAAATCCGTTTTTGAAGTTGCCTTTTTAGACCTGTATTTCACGGGAACTGTCTCTTGAGTGCAAAGAGCTTTTGACTCTCCAGGAGGGAAATAAGCAGAAAGACGGCTGGAGGGCTCCCAGGCATCTGCATTTCAGGGCTTGGTGGCTTTGCGAAAAGCTAAATATTAACGGCCAAGTTATAGGACCACTTAAAGTCTCCTTTCTTTAATTTTACACTTACTTAGAATTTGAAGATTGTATTCTTGACGGTGACAGATACCTTCTTCCTCAGAAAATGGCTATGCTTAAAGTTTCCTGGTATAATTTTACACTGAAATGGTATATGTGGTGAGAGAAAGTGATGTACATGTACAACATTTTAGAAAATTGTTTCATGTATTAAAAAACAAATTTCAATAAAAACTGAGTTAGGGCTGGGAATATAGCTCAGCGGCACAGCGCCTGCCTGGCAAACGCGAGGTCATGAGTTCAATTCCCGGGAACAAAACAAATCAAAAGCAGCAACAAAAAAACTGAGTTAAAAGCGTTATAATTGTGAAGCTTAGGTAGTTTCATAAAATAAGATCACAGCATTTATTAAAAATCTGGTCCCACCCTTCATGTACCTGAAATTCCTGCCTTCCTGTGTGTATACACAGAATATGGAGGGATGAGTTGATGAGTTATTTTCTCAACAGAATTCTCGTATTCAGACAGATTGGCTTCCAAGTAAAAGTGTAAAATCAAAGAATGAAACTTACCCTTTTTCCGGCTTTTCAGTGTATGATGGAGGAAAAATAAAAAGCAAGCTAGGGAAGATACGTGAAACCAAACAGATTTACTGAAAAGAAATTACCGTTTTTTCTTTTTGCGGTGTAGGGGATTGAACTTGAGACCCTGTGCTTGCCAGGCAGATGCTTATGCCACTGAGCTATCTCCCCCCCACCCCCTTCCGCTGCCAATAAACCCCTTTCTAAAAATGAATTAAAGATAGGAATGGAAACATCTTTAGGGAAAACAATTCTAAATCCAAACACAGAAAATAAAAAATTGTGTTTCCCCCCAAAACAGGGCAAAATGGCCTAGACAGTCATGGCTCTAGGACAAAAACAACAACAAAAAATTGGTGAGAACCCAGAAGCAAAAAGACTACAGTCTTTACACTGCAATGCAGTAGAATATTAATTTTCTAGAGGTTGTATAAGGATGAAAGTATGTGGGGAAAGGACAAAGATGGGGTTGTTTTGTAGTGTAAAGGAAGTAAAACACAAAATCTTAGGGTACTGGTGCTAGGCTTTATTTTACAAACTTAATGACAGTTTCAAAAGTTTCTCATTTAAAAATTTCTAAATTTTATATAGTTGCCATTTGTTTACACCCTCAGCAAAGTGCGTGCAAACCTAAATTGTAAGAAATCTAGCAGAAAAGTAGCCTATCCTTTAACATTTCCTTTATGTTTAAATTTTCAAGACATGAAAGTGATTGTTATTTTGGTCATCATGTACATCTCAGTAATCTGAGATTTCTTCATATGTGACTTACTTCCTAAGCCTTTGAAGCAGTAAAAAAAAAATTAAGAGCTAAAAAGACAACTAAATTGGGTAGAAGTTTAATTTTCTGTGAAGGAAAGATGACAGAACAAGCAAAATAAATCTTGCATGTGGTGGTATCATTGAAATACTGACCCTCCACAGGACATGCGTGAAGTTCAGAATAGTAGCATCTATCAATACCAACTACCGTATAATAATATTCTGGCAGCAGGCAGATACGGAGAAGAAATTCAAACCTTAGACTTGAAAATTAATCAAAAAGAATCTTTCAAAAAGAAAAGAGTCTTTCAGAGTAAAAAGTACAGTATAATTATAAGGTTAGTTTAAGATTGATAAATTATGTGCTCTGAGGGGTCACTAGCTATAGGACCGTAAGATAAAAATCCTTGCTTGCGAAAGGACACGCTTGTTACAGAAATTTGGTTTGAAGAAATGATGCGAAGTTACATGGTATTTTTATTAGATAATATTTATAAACCTAAAATATTAAACAGGAATGAAAAATGGGAAAGCAGGGGAGAGGAAGAAAATAACTTTTACAAATAAAATTTGATGTATTAATTTTATATAATTATAAACAGTATTTTAATAATGCCTAGAGAGGTAAAATAATAGTGCAAACATAACTGAACAAATAATAGGTCAAGTTCATCATACTTATTAATTCATGGGATGCTGTGATTTTTCCGGATTTTTTTTTTTCATTTTAGGGACGGGTCTACAGGGCATTCACGGTCTCATTACTAGATCGGACTTGTAGTGATCCGCCTGTTTACAGTCTCCCAAGAGCTGGGATTACAGGCCTGAGCCACCATGCCCAGTCTCAATTGCTGTCTCAACGTGCCCTGAGGGCGGGGCCGGCAGTGCAGGCCTGGAATTGAACAACCGGCCCCTGCGCCTGCTTTTTCTAGATTTTCTACTGAATAAATATTTCCTCTGGATGAACACCTTATGTCTTTATACATATCTATATAATATGGGAGTGTATACATGTATATTTGTATCTATTTTTCCACCTACCTGCCAGGAGTGCTCAGGAGTGTGTAAGTGTGTAGCTCTCTATATTTAGCTAGCTGTCTGTTGGTCAATCTATTGATCTATCTATTGCTCTATCTATCTATCTATCTATCTATCTATCTATCTATCTATCGCTATCTGTAACTCTGTATGTTTCACACGTATGCCTGTGTCACTTAGTCCTTAGGATTGGAAACTATTCATCTCCAAATCTGCCAAGCCTCTCACTATCATTGTCCCCTCACCTTTTTACCTTTTATGCCCATTATTGTACCACATGGTTGTGTCCTTGGTGTTTGAAACCGTCATGTGTAGTCCTAATCTGTTGAGGTCAGGATTAAATTGTCCTTGAGGACAGTAGGGACAGTGGTAATGGTAGTAGTGGCAGTAATTTGAAATACATTATTCAAAAAATATTGGAATTTTATCTGGTTTGTATTTAAATATAGCTGCCAGCTCTCTGGGTCTTCAATCAACCAGCACAAACCTGCTATCAACATTCAATTGTAAGAAACTTTCCTCTTTACCAAGTTCTTCACACTTTTGTGAGAAGCACTTTTATTGTAAATCCACAAGGATTTAAACAATCTTTCATCCATTACGTATAGAGCATCATCTCAGCATTCTACTTCAGTGTATTTTTTAACTAATTTTCCAGTTTCTAGAGCAGTATGTTTTAAAAATTAGCACACAAAATCAATATACAAGAATCACCTGCGAATCTGAGGGCCTTATACCAGAAAATTTCGAATTAATAATTCTATTTTAGTCCTGAAGGTGTTTTTAACAGGGTTTCCAGATAATTCTTATGTAAGGACGGGCGAGTCTATGAAATTCACAGTTTGAGAAGCACTGATCTGCCGAGATATTTTTTTCTAAAATGTTTACTTGAATTGTGAGGCCCATTTCTCCTGTTCTGAATGTTTTTCTGTAGTTATCCTATCTTATCCACCATGCTTAAGTTTAGTCTGTAGAAAATGTTTTCATAAAATCACTACTTCTAATATTAAAAATTTGAACAAGAAGAGCCTTTGCTCGCTCCTTCTTGGGAGTATGCAATCTTCTTATTTTGCTGTCTTGATTACTAGTATATATTCATTAATTGTCCTTGTTTCTTTTCTTGTTTATTTTCCTAAAATTAAAATTTCTTGTTACCTATGATGACCACTTCCTGGTTCAATTTGCTCCTTAAACACTACCATATTTGGTTCTGTTGATCAGAGTCCGCCTTGAGGGCTTCTCCCTTGACCAGTAAACACTGCCTTCTAGTGGTTCTTTTTTCTTGCATTTACCCCACTCTTAGGAAATTGGTTCTATCAAGGTGCTCATACTTTCCTTTTTGTCTTTAATTAGAAGTCAGAAACAACTTTTTAAAATTCTTGGACTCTGGGAGCATCCACATAGGACTGTTAAATTTTAGGATATGACTTATGTAGAAATTATGACAGAAGTAAAAATATTGCTTCAAATATTAAGGTTCAGAAATCTATTAAGGTGGATATTTAGTAATATCTCTTTTTGAAAAAAGGCTTTCAAACTATTTCACTCATCACTATGTTTGCCCAAATGAGATGCCAAGGCATACCAAATGACCAGAAAATCTTTATATTGGTAGAAAAATGATAGAAATGTTTTCTTCATCTCGTTTTGTTATCTCAGAATGGCCAGGTAGAAGAGAGGACTACCCAATATGGCAACGCCTCTAATGCGGACTTTTATTTTATTACTTTTAAAACAGTATAAGTTAGAATTAAAACACAAAATTACAAGTGATGCAGATTTTCACTTAAAGGAATATGAATTTCACAGTATTTGTTGTAATACGTAGTATTGTCTTCTAACCACTTAACCATATTATGAGACACATGTATATAAAGTTGAAAGAAGAAAGAAAAAAAGAAATGTATAAAAATGAAGAAGACAAAAAGAAACAATTGAAAAATGAGACAAAACAAATTAAAGCTTTAACTGTTTCTTTCCATAGACCAGCAGAAATGCACAGTACCGTTGTAATGTGAACTTTTAATTTCATAGTGACCAACATCAAAGTTGCTTTTCCATGCTTTCTTCCTTGGGAGCCCAGAAAAACACTTGCTTTGAAAATGAAAAATATAATGTAAATGTTGGGTATATTATATTTATAGCTTAGCAGAGATGTTTCCCTCATCTTTTTCAGCTTGGTAACCATCTAGCCTGGAAAGATAGTCACATGGAGATGCGCAACAAAAAGTTACATAAAACCAATGAAAAAATACAGTCTTAGAATATATGAATCATAGATTAAGACGTCTTTTAAAACAACAAAGGTAGAAATTATTTTATTGAATGTAAGCCATTTTTGCATTTAATAAACTGGGGATAATTATTGTGATTGGTTATTTATGAGTGGGAAAAATTTCCATAAAACATAAATGTAAATAAAATAAGGCCTCTACAATTTTTGCAAGCATTTTTTTTATTCTAGGAATTCTTTCTTTGGTTTCTCTTTTCAGTAATTAGATAATGGAATTCAAAATGAATAGAAGATGCATATGTTTAAAAACTAGGAACAGGATTAAAGAAATTTAAGATTGTGCTAGAAGATTAAGAAAGAAGATGAAATAGAGGTTGCAAAGAAAGTACAATAATTTTTGAATATATGGTAGCTATTTCAGCTAAAACTCAGCATTAACTGCAACATAAAATAATTTTCCAATCACCTAGTGGTTTGATCATTTTATTTATGTACTTATTTTCTATTTTTTTTTTTTTTGGTGGAACAAGGGATTGAACTCAGGCCCTTGCACTTGCCAGGGAAGCACTTATTCTACTGAGCCATCTCCCTCCCCCCTTTTTTTTGGTTTGATCCTTTTAAATGAGACCAAAATCTGTTTCTTCAGAATTATCTAAAATTTCTCGACAGTGCTCTTCATGGAAATGTGTTAAGGCGTTAAAAATTTTTAATCTTGTGCTTAGTAACTCCTGTATTTCCTGATTTTCCATCATAAATTTTGGGATAAATTATAATAAAAGTTATATGCTAAGTATCAAACAATGTATTTTATTTCTCAAATCCTAAAAATGATCATTTAAAAATATGTATGTATTCTCATGACTCATACATATATTCCTGACATTAGCTTTGATGATTTTTTGGAGAAAATAGGATGCTAGGCTGCTGCTTTAAGAATGCATTAGTCAAGCAATAGCCGTGACTCATCCACATGGTTGAGGCTGACAAAGGATCTACAAAGTGCGGTGCAGGGTTACAGGATAAATCCTGAGGGGACTTGACTGATCTTATCAGATACAAAAGTTACATTTCTTGTTATATAGGTCTTGCTTTATCTTGGTCTTAACCATCCAGCAGAAAAGTATGAAAACGAGGTATATAAAGTAAAGCCATATTCATATGCTGAGCTGTGAAAGGTTCTAGTCAACAACTTCTGCAGATAATTCACTACTAGTGTGGACTGCTGGACTGTGTTGGATTGTTCTGCTGAATTCACGCACATATAGTATTTAGATGCCAATAGAATACCCATTTCTGACAGGACTAAACAAAAAAGGGAATACAAAGGAAGGACTGTTTTATATTTGTATACACAGAATAGTTGGGATCGATATACAGCTTCTTTCGCTTAATTCATCGAGAAGAAAGATTTGTAGTAATAGTGTTTGGACAACATATCCTGTCTTCTTGTTGTACTATGGATAACCACAAAGAAGATAACAATGTACAAGGTATTAATTGTTGAAAATGTCCTATTAATAAGCTTTGAAACTGTCTCATTGATATTTGTTTCTCAATAAAATTAAAAAAATTAAAAAGGATTAAAAAAATGAATGTTTGCATCAATCCACTGGAGGCACTTGGATTGTAGAATGATAGAATCTTATATTTTCATATAGACTCTCAGAGCAGAAAAATTAACATAGAATTTTCATTTATATGTGTGAAACCTAAATCACAGCAAAAGCAGACAACTTACCCTGACTTATATGGTTAATTAGTGGAACAGATGGGCTAAAACTTAAGTCTACTGACTGTTTACTTGTTAAACTACTTGTTGACCAAGGTAATGGCAAAACTGTGTCATGTTTCTATGACAGTTTTGCTAGATTACATGAATATTGTGTTATTTTAATCATATAATTTCCTTGATATATGTTGTATATACTCAGTATTTTTCTGTTTAGCTCACATTTTTCTGTGATAAAATGGTAAGATGATTAAACCTTCATGTTCTATAACTAATATGAATTTACAAGAATTTGCCAATTTTTTTACATTTTACATATTAACATCTCTTCATTGCTCATATGATTATTGCTAAAGTGAACTGCCAGTGTGAGAATCAATAGTGATAAAGTTCAGGAAACCATGTTTTCTGATAAACAAGGAAAGGATACCCATATTCAAAGGTGAGGAAATAATGCTTGTGGATAAAATATGGAAATTTTAGGATGTTGTCCATAAATATATTTTCTTTCTTATGATACCATATTTAAACTTCAGTATCAGAAAATACCATTTTTACATGAAAAGGCATTTAGCTGTTGAAATGATGAATGCTTATAAGACACAAAACCAAAACTCTCTATCGTTTTTCAGATGATTCTCTTTTAATGACCTGTTCTTACATTGCTATTCATATATTGAGGTGATATTTGTTTTAGATTTTTTTTATAATATAAATAAGTTATCCATACTTTCTATTCAATATCTGGACCTCACTGCTGTGTTTTAAGCTTTTTAAGTATCTGCTTAGCTGTAAAAAGGTTACTTCAGTAGCAAGTAAGTGGACTTATTTCCATTGCAATATCTTGTAACTGTGTCTTGAATATACGTTACCTTTACATAATTGCATACAATTGAAATTTACGGTTATTTACAAAATTGACAATGGACATATCACTGTTAGTTTTTCACAAATGCCCACATTCAGTCCAAGGAAATTCTGGCATGTGTATTCTTTTGGGAAATGACGATTAGGTGCTTCTAAAGTTACTTCTAAAGAAACAAGACAGAGTGGAATTTTTCCAGAAAAGAGTGACAATTTTTGTTCTGTGCTTTTTAGGATCCAACTGGAATATTCTCACTAGATAAGACCATTGGCTTTGGTACTTTTGGAAAAATCTATTTGGTAAGTGGAACTAGATTATTCATTGTTCATTTCTAGTAACAATATTACTTGTAAATCAAACCACAATCCTCAGACTGCAAGTGAAATATGCTGCCACATAACATTCACTTTGAGAGATGAAGCAAATTATGATGTTTCAGTAACATTTAACAGTTATTAAAAGCAATGATTTTTATCATTGATTATTATTGTAAAATGGATGGATTAGTTATTTTGTAGTGAATGAACCAAATCTAATATGGTATCTAAAAGTATTAGCAGAAAATTAAAGTCACCACTGGAAAAGGAACTAATTCAAAATAAGATATCATTTGTTGGATAACACATATCCCTGTCATCTTAGTTACCAATATCAACTTTAAACTGAATGCCATTAAAAGGAGAAATTTCATAATATTCTGTGTCAAACTATATATAGATATGCATATGTCTGTGAAAAAGTTTGCTGTGGAATCTAATAGAAAAATTCTGCATTAATGATAATACATTCACATGCTTAGTATTTACCAGGCATTATATTAGTCTCTAGGAAGCTATGATGAAAAACACAGTGTCTTTGTCTTTGCTATTCTACGGCTTATGTTTTAGAAGTGTGTAAGTGTACATATGTCATAGGAAATTTTAAGGGGGCACAGATAGTACATATGCACAGAAGACTGTAGAGTATCTAATTGTAATATTTGTTTCTATGAAAATCCATACTGATACAAAAATCATAGACTTGGGGTCTTTATTTAGAATGGAGGATCAATGTTATTCTCAAAGTTCCTGGAATGTGACAGTTAAACTGATGCCAACAGGACAAATATGAGGTGACCAAGCAAAAGCATGACCATGGAGGGTGATGCTAATTCATTCTGGGTAGGAAACATGTAGTCTTAAAGGCTGGTTGAATTTCTTCACTAGCCCTATCGTGTCTTGGTCAGCTACCCTTCTCCCACTCTCTAATATGGGAAATAGGCATTTTAAAAATACATACACTATATAAGTTCTATGCAAATGCAGTGTTCCTCATTTATAGGCCTGCCCCTCAAAACCAAACTTACTGTCCCATCACACACACACACACACACACACACACACACACACA